CTACTCCGCCTCCTCCTCCTCATCCTACTCCGCCTCCCCCACCTTCTCATCCTCCTGGCGCAACCCAATCGCAGGGGATTTTGCCAGTCGCGCGCACGGCACCATCGTAGGTGTTGACGTTGACCCCCTTGTGTGGATGTCCTGTCCTGTCCTGTCCTGTCCTGTCCTGTCCTGTCCTGTCCTGTCCTGTCCTGTCCTGTCCTGTCCTCCTCCTCCTCCTCCTCCTCCTCCTCCTCCTCCCCTGTCTTCTCTGTCAGGGGGCTCCGCTGGGCTATTTCCAGCACGTGGTAACTCTCACGAAAAAAACCACGCCACTTCGTCTTCGGCTTTCGTGCCCGTCGGCACCAGGAGGAGGAGGAGGAGGAGGAGGAGGAGGAGGAGGAGGAGGAGGAGGAGGAGGAGGAGGAGGAGGAGGAGGAGGAGGAGGAGGAGGAGGAGGAGGGAGGAGGGAGGGAGGAGGAACGGGGTGGAGGAGAGCAGGAGAGGAGGGGTGCCCCCTTTTTCTCCTCAGCCACCTTCCCCTCCACGACTGAACGCTGTGGGCCCTCGAGTCTCCTGACGCGGCCCTCTACTAGCTTCTCCTCCTCCTACTTACCTCCTCCTCCTCCTCCTCCTCCTCCCCCTCCTCCTCTTCCTCCTCCTCCTCCTACTCTCTCTGCTGCTCCTCCTCCTCCTCCTCCTCCTTTTCCTCCTCCTCCTCCTCCTTCTCTTCCTCCTCCTCCTCCTCCACCTCCAGCTCCTCGTCCATTTCTTTTCCTTATAACTGATGTCTCCCTGTCGCACCCCGAAGCATTTTTTTAGAGCGGGCTGGGCGTTTCGCGTGAGATTTCTTCACACTTTATGACCCTGAAGCTTAACACATGACAACAGTTTCACAAATTGAGGGCGGGTGGTTTTCAGAATGAAGCTTTCGCCCTAGCGCCGCGCACGTTCGTTTAGACACATTGCAGAAGTTTCACAGACTGAGGGCGAACGGTTTTCAACATGTAGCTGTCGCCTTAGCACCGTGCGCACTCGTTTTAGAAAAATGAGGCGGCGAGAGGAAACGTATTGGACGTATTGCGCGCCGGAGCTTGATGTGAGGTCCCAGGCGCGTTAGTGGATGCGCGCGCGGTCGGCGGTGATGGCGAGTCGGGAATGAAGTCCCCGAGCGCTGCCGCAAGCGACGCGGTGCTGCCACCGCCTGAAATCGGGGATGGCGGTATCGCTCATCCTCTCGCCTTCTCCGTGTGATCGCTGCGCCCACGCTCCGTCGAATGCTCTGCTCGCATACAGGCACTGTTCCCCGTGGGGTCCAGTGCCATGCGGCAGAATCAAAAGCGAAGCGGAGCGACGCGACGGAGAGCGCAACAGTATAGGCTGATAGCCTGTGCGTAGGTTGACGAGCGAAAAGTCGAACCTACAATCATTCCCGTAGGTAGAGGTAGGAAAGGAAAAGGGTCGCGAGTCCTTCTCCCAGGCGCTGCGAAGGAGGCAGCGCAGTATGTTGTGCCAATACCTGAGCCGAAACGTCAGCGGTAGATAACATAATGGTGCTGTGAGGGGACCTCGCACGTAGCGGCCTCTACTACTTCGGCGAAGGAAGGCTGGGCCCCCGAAGCCAGGGGCGAGGCGCCCATGTGCGACGCGGCGAAACGGGGGGCGCAGCTTCAGCGGCGGCGTTCCGAAGCGCGGGCGTCAGCTCGCGCCAGGAAAACGTGGTGCGAAGGCCAGAGCGGATCAGATCGGCAGAGGTGGGGATGGGCAAGCCCGAGAAAATGAAGTCGTTCCATCTCTACTGATCGAAGCGCCCGCCACGCGGGGTCGCCCAGTGGGCTGCGCGCAGCAGCCTGGCTAAGAAAATTCCTGCGGGGTGGCGGGGGCGGGCAGAGGCGCGAAATGCGCGACGTAGCTTGGGGCAGAGACTGCGCGGGCATGATGGCCATGGGCCGCCGCGCGCGGATGAGAAGCACTGGGGGCCAACGTCTGTCCACGGACGCGCACTTTCTTCGCCGGGTCGGCCGGCTGCCGAGCTTCGCCCGCGGCCCGAGCCGCGCGCCGAGGTGCCTCGACGCGGGGCCGATGGGGAAATCCTGCCGCTCGGGGGCGTGGGCGAGATGCCAGCGACGGTAGGCGGGCGCCGTCTCGGGGAGGGGCGCCTGCCAGCCGGCGGGGCGACGCGGCAATCGGCCGCCTCCAAGCCGAGAGCGGCGACGCGCTCAGCCACGCGATGTTCTCTCCTCGCGACCTTCAGCGCCTCGATCTTCTCGAGGGCGGCGCCGACGTCGTCCGCGCGGGCGCGCGCGGCGCCGCGCCGCGAGAGCGGAAAAGGAAGCCAGAAGACGGGCATCCTTGCGCGACGCCGCTGCCGACGGCGAACGGCAGCGCGGACGGGTGCGCGTCGCCGCCGCGGCAGGGCGCGCCCGGGCGCGGCAGCTCGAGGACCCGCGGCAGGGCAGGCGGCGAGCCAGCGTGCCGCAGGACCGAGAACAGCAATCGATGGTCCAAACTTGGCCAGGCCCGCGAGCAATCGCAGCCGACAAGGAGAGGGCCTGGCCGCAGACGCATGCCCCCGCTGCGACAAAAAAC